CGATGCTGGCAGTCGTAGAGGTGAAGTGCAGGTGTTTGCTGCCAATGACATCATGGCATTTTGGTGGCATGACAAACGTGATGTCACACTGCTGACATCAGCTCACCGACACGAAATGGTAGACACTGGCAAGCAGAATAGAGAGACCAATGAACCCATTGTAAAACCTGCAGCTGTGATGGATTACAGCCTCAATATGCGCTTAGTGGACAAATGTGACATGCAGATTGGGTTTGCTGACTGTGTTTGCAAGAGTTATAAGTGGTACATAAAACTGTTTTTCCATCTTCTTGACATTTCCATGCTGAATGCTTATAATATGTATAAGTTGAAGACAAAGAAGAAACCCAAATATGGTGAATTTTGTTTGTCAGTCATCAGACAAATAATATTCAAGTACCAAGAAACAACACCTACAATAGACCAGCGCCCACAAAATTATCAACACATGTCCTCTCGTCTGAGGCCTGGTGATCACTACCCCATACCACTGCTTGCTACTACTGCCAAGAAAAATGCTCAGAAGAGGTGTTTTGTCTGTGGACATACCACAAAATGCCCACAAAAACGCAGACACACTCGTTTTATGTGTGAGGAGTGTAAGACACCATTGTGCTTATACCCATGTTTCAAAGAATTCCACAAGCTGCAGCACTTCTAGAAAAGTGTCCAATGACTGTACATATGTATATATATTATAAAACAATCGTAATAAACATTTGTTTACATTGTTTGTTTGTGTAAACAAGTTTTAGCAACATTATAATGATACGAGTGTTTTTGCTATAATTGTGTTACAGTCAACGAGTGTATATTTGAACATTGCACAATAATTTGGTCTCACAGGCCACAAAAGATATGTGAAAAAATAAAATAGTGAAAAAAAACAAGAAACCATCGAATACAAGTAAATCAAAGTTTACCGGGTTAGCGGCAGTCACCGCTGTTGCCGCTCGCAGATCAATTTCAGCAAACTTCAGGACTCTATATCTCGGTAAGTACTGATGGGAAAAATTTTTTTTTGGGACTAAAACAATCAGAAAAATAATCTTAACATTTTCATAAGAAAAAATAATTTTTTTTTTTCGAATATTTTGCGACACCAGGAGACACTTCAGGATTGGGCCCTTCGACAGTCAAAGGGTTAACATTAAGATCAACAACACACTAATTGCCAGACATAATGAGGGCAAATTCCTTGGCCTATACCTCGACAACAACCTAAATTTCGGTACCCATATCCAACACATAACAAAAAAAGTATCCAAAATGGTGGGGATCCTCTCCAAGATATGATACTATGTGCCGCAAACTGCCCTTCTCACACTATACCATTCACTTATATATCCATACCTCACCTATGCTATCTGTGCTTGGTGTTCAACTGCAGCAACACACCTAAAGCCAATAATAACCCAACAAAAAGCCGCAGTAAGAATACTGTAATCACTAAATCCCAACCCTGGCAACACCCCCCCCCCATTCTTCATAGATCTAAACTTACTCCCTGTTCAGAACATCCACACTTACTACTGTGCAATCTATATCTACAGGACCTTAAATTCCAGTATTAACCTTGACCTAAAATGCTTTCTTGATAGTTGTGACAGGATCCACAGGCATAACACCAGACACAAACATCTCTATGACATTCCCCGTGTTTGACTAAACCTTTACAAAAATTCAATGTATTTCAAAGGCCCTAAAATCTGGAACACCCTACCTGAAAACTCTAGAACTGCAGACACATTCATCACTTTCAAAACTGAACATCAAAATGGTATACAATACCGACAGGTTGTTAGGTAAGACACATATGCAACAGTTAGACAACTTTATTCCGAAACGTTTCGCCTACACAGTAGGCTTCTTCAGTCGAATACAGAAAGTAGGCAGGAACAGTAGAGATGTGAAGACGATGTAATCAGTCCATCACTCTTGAAGTCGTAGAATTTGAGGTTGTCAGTCCCTCAGCCTGGAGCAGTTCAGTTCCATAGTCAGGAACTATCTGAAGATCAAGCGACAGTGCAGAGACTTAAATACTGTCGGAAGGAGAGGTGCAGAGTAGTAGTAGTAGTGAAAATGTAGCCACTGAGAGGTCATGTCCCTCTCAGATCCAACCCTTTTCACTTGAAAAGCTTGTCCAAGGTGTTTTCTGTACCAAGATGCCATGTGTTGCAGTGTCTGACAGGATGAACATCAAAATGGTATACAATACCGACAGGTTGTTAGGTAAGACACATATGCAACAGTTAGACAACTTTATTCCGAAACGTTTCGCCTACACAGTAGGCTTCTTCAGTCGAATACAGAAAGTAGGCAGGAACAGTAGAGATGTGAAGACGATGTAATCAGTCCATCACCCTTGAAGTCATAGAATTTGAGGTTGTCAGTCCCTCAGCCTGGAGCAGTTCAGTTCCATAGTCAGGAACTATCTGAAGATCAAGCGACAGTGCAGAGACTTAAATACTGTCGGAAGGAGAGGTGCAGAGTAGTAGTAGTAGTGAAAATGTAGCCACTGAGAGGTCATGTATTCGACTGAAGAAGCCTACTGTGTAGGCGAAACGTTTCGGAATAAAGTTGTCTAACTGTTGCATATGTGTCTTACCTAACAACCTGTCGGTATTGTATACCATTTTGATGTTCATCCTGTCAGACACTGCAACACATGGCATCTTGGTATAGAAAACACCTTGAACAAGCTTTTCAAGTGAAAAAGGGTTGGATCTGAGAGGGACATGACCTCTCAGTGGCTACATTTTCACTACTACTACTACTACTCTGCACCTCTCCTTCCGACAGTATTTAAGTCTCTGCACTGTCGCTTGATCTTCAGATAGTTCCTGACTTTGGAACTGAACTGCTCCAGGCTGAGGGACTGACAACCTCAAATTCTACGACTTCAAGGGTGATGGACTGATTACATCGTCTTCACATCTCTACTGTTCCTGCCTACTTTCTGTATTCGACTGAAGAAGCCTACTGTGTAGGCGAAACGTTTCGGAATAAAGTTGTCTAACTGTTGCATATGTGTCTTACCTAACACTTTCAAAACTACAGTTAGAAAACATCTTATCTCCCTGATACACCCCAACAACTAACTACATGATAACCACCTGGTGGTTCACAATTACACTCGCTCACCCACTGACTATAAACCCAGAAATACTAATCTTAATCTTAAAATAATAATCCTAACTAGTCATAAGTTTGCCTATGATGCTCCAATATAGACACTTTGTATTGTGCCAAAACAAAAACATTCACATTGCTAAACTCACAAATTATGATGTAGTCACTTAGCCTTAATACCATAATCTGTAAGGATTTAATGTTAAGAATTAATCTAAGTCTGTCTGAAATGCCTAGCCATGCTAGGTGTCCTAGTGGCCCCCTCTGTAATTAGTATTTTATAACATGTAAACCACACAATACCCAAAACCTGTAGACCCCACATTGTAACCCTTATAGAGAATAAACTTGAATTGATTCGAATTGAAGTATCAGGCCAAGTCCACAAACTCTGACGTTTGTCTGGTACGGGCGAAAGTGACCATGTCCGAGATCCTGTCTGTTGTCATTGTTCCCTGAGCCACAGGCCACCCACAGCAGTATATTGTTTATGTTTGGTTATGCATACACTAGTCATTCAGTCTAATTTTTTCAAAAATTTATAGCATTTTTGTGTGATTTATTAACATATTTTGTAAAGTGCAGTTAACAATGGCTTATAAAGCAAATGGTGGGGCCAAGAGGAAACATGTGGTTCTAAGCCATCTACATCTTAGCCATCTATATCTCAGCCATCTACATCTCAGCCATCTACATCTCAGCCATCTATATCTCAGCCATCTACATCTTCTCAGTCATCTACATCTTCTCAGTCATCTACATCTCAGCCATCTACACCTCAGCCATCTACATCTTCTCAGTCATCTACATCTCAGCCATCTACACCTTCTCAGCCATGTATATCTTCTCAGCCATCTTCAACTTCTCAGCCATCTACACCACCTCAGCCATCTACATTTTCTTAGCCATTACATCTCAGCCATCTACATCTTCTCAGCCATCTACACCTCAGCCATCTACAACTTTTCAGCCATCTACACCTCAGTCGTCTATGACTTCTCCACCATGTAAGCAACATTACTGTACAAGAATGGTATATAATACCGACAAGATGAAATTAAGACACATGTGCAACATCTGGGTATCTTTATTGTAGACGTTTCACCATCCAGTGGCTTTATCAATACAAATTCTAGGACATAACTTGAAGACAGTAAGACTATGTACAGAAGATGAGGTAATCAGTCCCTCAACCTTGGAGTAGGTGCGAAGAGCACCGTAGTCATGGAGATTCTGTACATAGTCTTACTGTCTTCAAGTTATGTCCTAGAATTTGTATTGATAAAGCCACTGGATGGCGAAACGTCTACAATAAAGATACCCAGATGTTGTACATGTGTCTTAATTTCAACATTACTGTAAAATTAGTATACAGTACAGAACTGTAGTACTACAGTTTGCAGTACTTGTATTCTTAGTGTCTGGGTGTCTTCTGTATCAGCAGACCAAGTTCACTACTTCAGGAAAATTATTTTCATAATTTGGAAGTTGTGGACAATTGACATTTATCGTACGCCTCCTACATCCCTATTAGTCCATTAACGAGAGATTGGTATGCTCAGATTTCTTGTGGTCATATATGTTTCTTTAAATAGAAGAAGTAGTAATAAAGTAGTAGTAGTAGTAATAATAGTAGAAGATGTAAGTAGTAGTTATAGTAGTAGTAAGTAGTAATAGTAGTAGTAAGTAGTAATAGTAGTAAGTAGTAGTAGTAGTAATAGTAAGTAGCAGTAGTAAGTGATAGTAACAAGTAGGAAATTATTATTATTATAGTTATTAATTATTAATCATTAATAATTTTTAATTAATATTTTTATTAAGATCTACATTCCTCTTTTTCTTCTCATTATTATTTTTTATTTTGTCAGCCATGAGGAGAAAGAAATTGAAGGATAATCCCAAGACACAGAAAGTTGCTCAGAAGGACTGGCTAGAAAGAATGCTTAAATTCAAAAGACACAGTCCAAAATTCAAGATTCCCAGGTCTGAAACACCGAAAAATTCTGCTGATGCTGACAGAAAGAAACAATTGGAGGCTTCGATTATGAGAGAAGTTCAGACTAATGTGCGCTTCCCTCAGAAACGAATAAATGTAGCAGAGAGGAAGAAACATTTGGCAGAGCTTAAAGAAACAACTGATTTCAAACGCCTATCCCCCAAGCCTACAAATTTGATGCAGTATATTAGAAAGAATTTCAAAAAGGTCCAGAAACAATTCAAGGAATTGCAAGACCCATTCACCTCAGAGTACTCACCTCAGTTCATGGAGATGATGACCAAGGAGATAAACGAACACGGCATGGGCCTTCAGCATGGGGTATTGGTAAGAAAGCTGCAAGAGGTACAGTTAGAGCCACTCATGACACTCACCTTGTCAGATGACTATGGCAACCACAACACTACTGTGTTTGTTAAATCATTCATCAGTGCCAAAGATGCCCTTATTCAAGCACTAAAATCCTTAAGAAGTCCAGTTCAGCTACTTCCATACACGTACTACCATATCTACCAAGTATTAAGCCCTGTGT